AAAGTAACAATCGGCCTAACCGAAAACTGGTCAGGGAAGACCATAATTCTTCTCCTTGTCTTCCTCAGCGGCTCTATGTCCGAATCAGAGCTCTCCGACTCTGAAAGATCCTTAACGGTGGTAGGAGTCTTCCCTTCTCTCCTTTCTCTACCCTCTCCTTCGATAGACTGCAGAGAATGGGGGGTAGGAAGCGGATAAGCAAGCAGCCAAAAGAAGTAGAACTTCAAAAAAAAATGCTAAGTCAAAGTTTGAAGAGCTCACCGAAGTCTTCAGCAAAGACTCGTCTTTAGCAACTGTTGCTCCTTGCAATTCTGCAGCTCTAAAAGTCCATTCACCACCTTCAAAATCCCTGGCTACTCTGGCTACTTCAGCATCAGTCTTGGAAGCTTCTTCTTCTTTAGGGGTTAAGCAAATGAAGGGATCTCGCTTTTCCCACCAAGGTCTCTAGTTCAGGTAAAGCAGGGCAGATTTGAAGCTTGTTTGAGTGAAGGTGCAGAGGAAGATCCTTAGAATCAGTGATCTGCGGCACGTTGTTCGTCACAGCTCTTTCAGCAATGATTCCTAAAAGCCCGTAATCAATCTGGACATCTCTCTCGTGCAGCACTGAAAGACAAAAATTCAAGCCGTTAATACAACAAAGCAAAAGCTGAAGAGTACTAAAATGTAAAGTAAAAAGCAGGAAAGCTAAATCCTCATTCCCAGCCGAAGATACTTACAGTCTCTGTACTTTCGGCTGAGGCTGACAGCAGCAAGCAAGCGCTCTTGGAATGCATAGAAAGAGTCTAGTAGCCAGTTCTCCGGCACATGCTTCCATCGGCCCGTCCTTCCGGGATTATCCTTCTTCCCGAAGAGTTTTAGCTGACCATAATCCGGATTGCTAGCTACCTCGGGCTCTTCGGGGCTAAGGTCCTCCATGCCGGGATTGGGTCTAGATAGGTACCGGGGGCACCAAAGAAGTTCAGATGATCAGGATCTGAAGGAGCTCTGGCCCAGATCCACTGCCCTCGCCAGTCCTTATCCGAACTTTCGTTCGGCCACACAGTCAGATACCTCGGCAAGCTCTCAATCCGCCACTATCCGGACCCATGCTGGCCATATCCACTCTGGGTATTCGGCACCAGTCTGTGCAACTTTTTAAAGTAGTACAAGTTCGGTTGAAAGCCGTAAAACAGGCACACCTAGAGATAGGTCATCATCCTTCAGATGCTGACAGGTGTCAACTAACACAGGGAGATTCGGTATTTGATAAGTAAGTCCCTCACGAAGGGATGCAGGGGGAACCGCAGCCCGTACTGCAATTTCCAAGTATAAACCCTCACGTAGCCTGGGGGTGGACGATGGATTCTATCAGTCTCGATGGGCATTCGGCACCAATACCCGTCTTCTTCCAAAATAGCATAGAACAGCTTCACCTGTTCGGCAAGGCGACAATCCTCCCCATTGGTAGGGGCGGTTCGTCATCAAGCCGAAGTTCTCTTCGGTAATTACCCATCAACGGCCCTAAGGGGCAGGTCCCAAATCACGGCAGCCGGAGCTTCTTCCTGGTCGAAAGTGCTCGGCTCCTCCGTTTCACAGGGAGGCACCGTATTAAGAGGTACAGCGGGAATTCCTTCTTCTCATGCAGGCTGAGGGTTTTCCTCACCTTGATTGTTAATTCGATCCCTCGGATGTCGAGTTTGTCCTCGAGCTCTGCCTCTAGCCAGGGTCGCAAAAGCTCGAAAATTCGAGAGAAAGGTCGGAAAAAAGAAAAGGGATACTTCGAACTCAACGAAAATCAAAGGAAATTCGAAGAAAATTACCTTAAATCGAAGCGGAATTTGCCGATCTACAAGTTCGGAGTATCAAATTTCAGTTTTGAAGCCCAGTTCTCGGGGAATCAGTGAAGTTTGAAGTCGGAATTAAGGGTTTGCGCGAGTTTGGAGTGTGAATTTGTGAAGAAATGAGGAGAGAGAGTTCGAAATGCGGTTTATATTTCCAGAAATAGGATATCTGGGATTCTGCCCTTTAATCTCTCATTAATCCCTCATAAAGTAACCGTTAAACACACTCCCTCCAAATTAACTAGCCATTATCCGTCCAACTTCCTTAATCATTATCCAAATGACAGTTATTTTCTTAATGGCTGTTTAAAATTTAAATATTTTATTTAATTAAATCATTTACTTCCCTCCATTTTTTGTTAAATCATTTCCTTAATCATATTTTGCCTCTCATCACAAACAAAGTCGTACACCTCAAGCCCAGACTCATTCAAAACATAGAACAAGTTAGTAGTATTGGAGGAATCCAGCCGTAAATTAATCCTCTGTGGGAAATAGTCGTCTCGTACTTCAATCCACTCTTTACTAGACTTGGGAGCATCCCAAATGCGTAAGCAAGCAAGAATTGAATAGATGTTGTGCCATCCAAGAGCGGTGATCACACAATTCACATGACGTGGGTCTGAATGCGAGAGGGCCATATGACGAACTTGTAAAATTTCCGTAGAACCCTTCATCAAGGAAGGAAGACGGATGGCATTCATATCCTTGTTACTGAAATAGGGATTGGTTAGATAGATGGGGTGACAATTATCCTGAGGATCCTCGAAGGCCAACCATTCCCCTATTGATGCAAGGCACTTAGCCGTGTCTTCGATTTAGCCTCACCACTTGATTCACTGCAGGGCTATAGAACGAGTCCACAATACAACCGGTCTTCTCATCTAGTTCTGGAGTGAGTTTTAACCATGGAATTCTCGGGTTTGGCAGACAGTTTTTACCATCCACCACCTCTAGTGATGATGATGGCAAGATGCTCAGATTGGCTAGTTGTTGATGTTGAGATAAAAAAATGTTTGGTTCTTGCTACTCCTAACATTGGTGTAATCAAACGATGACAACCAAGTGATGTTGTCAACTTCCTCAGCATTCTGACATCACAAAAACAGGGAGTTAGAAATCAGTTCAATCCAGAGCTAATATAGTAATAACCAAGAAAAAATAAAACCCCGATACCTTATTGCCATTTCAATTTCCAAAAGCCTGCAAAACAAAATCCCAACCAACAATAAAACACATAAAAATCATGTTTAAGTCTGACATTATAAACCCAAAAAACCCTGCAACACATTAACAACTCAATAATCTCCAAAAATTCTTGTTTCTTAAGAATACTAATAGCAAAATTATAGTATTAGATAGCTCGTTATAATGCTTGATAACCAATATTTCAATAGTCTGAAGCCTAAATTGATTATACCTACAATTAAATTTACGATTAACACTAGATTGGGAAATTGATATTCGGTCATTAATAAGAAATATGTGTTGGACCATATACTATGTATAGCTAATGGGCCGGTGTTATGTTACGCCCTAATCTCATAGGTTGTATATATAATTGTGTATACGCTAAAGAACAACACACTATTCACCCTATTCTCTCTAAATTGACAATATGTTACCTCAGAGGCTGCTACAATGGAGGAGATTGGAGAGGCGCTTAGAGAGAGGGGGGAGGGTGCAGCGAGGCATGAAAAAGTTCTTTTAGGGAAAAAAAAGAAATTTATAGAGAGTGCCACAATCTAATTTTTTCGACCAATATTAAAACAAATTTATTCTCCGTATTTATCATCACCTAAGTAAAAAATATACCAAATAATAAATAATACTATCGGTCAAATAAAAATTATTATTTACTAAACTAGATGAAATACAATTTGTGATAGGATATTGCGTGCACTTGATTGATCACTGCACTTGATCACAGAAAATTATCTAGCTCGTTGTTTTATATCACAAATACAAATTACTAGATAATACCTTCCGTCAATAAAAAAAAATAAACAACTAGTTTAGGTCCACGCACAATAATTTATTAAAAATAATACTCTGTATGAACTTTAAATATAATTGGTTATTTTACACAAATAAAAAAAATCTAAAAAAAATTAATAAATATACACTACTTTGATGTGTGGAAAGATATATTAAATCTTTTTTTATCTAAAAAAATTAAATCTTTGTTAACTTTATAAGATATTATTTTTGTTAAGATTTTATACTACTACGTATAATTAATTTTTGTATATAGTTATTGATTCTTAATACTATCTCAGTAAACAGTTATTTACAACAAAGGGCTCTGTGCGAACGCATAGGCAAAAGTTTAAGCATGATTATTGAAATTTAAGGGCATGTGGTTAAGTATTAATCCTACAAAAAAAAACAATTAAACAAAAACTCAAACCACCGAAACCCAGAACTACCACCACCAACCACCAGAACCACCATTATAAGATAAATTGTGAGCTCTATCCGTCTATAAAAACAAAGGAGACGCTGATCAATTGCTATGTTAATTACATCACTTGAGTCATCTTTATAATACTTCAGTAAGTAAAAAGTAAAATTGTGGGCTCTATCGGTCTTTCCAAAAAAAAAAAAAAAAAAAAAAAAAAAAAAAAAAAAAAAAATTATAATTTGAAGGTCACCTTGGATAATATTGATTGATGCCAGATGATTGAAAGATCAGACACTTGTTAAGGCAAAAGTGGATGGCGATGCTGACATATGGAGTTATGCTATTTTTGACATATTATTTGCTTACTAGTTAACCTTATACAAGCATAGCCTGATCTCCGTGTAATGTTGTTGAATTGGATAATAGAGGTGATGATTGAATTTGAATTTTGTGTAATGTTATTGAATTTTGATCTTCCAGAAATTTTTCATTTCGTCTTCCAGCCCCCAAATAGTGGAGGAAAAGACCCCAAATAGTGGAGGAAGTACCTTGTGTATCTCCGTGTCTTGTTTTTGCTGAAGTTAATATACTCCATAGCAAATTAGCAATCTCCTGGCTAATACTACGAAAGATTTTGACTTTTTAACCTTGGCCAAGTAATGCTATCAAGTACGAAGTATTTAAGAACAATGAATCTTTAATTGCCAAACCTGGTGCTGATCAATTCATAGCAAACTAAAAATTCATAGCAAACTATTAAGTATTGAACAAAATAGTATCAAATAAAATGGACTTTTTATCATAAGTTCTCGCTCACTTTTTTGAGCAAAAATGGTTGGATTATCCTCCTTCCTGATTTTTAATGTAATGTGAAAAGTTCCTTGCATTGACTGTAACTACATTGAGGACTGGTTACGATTAATTACCAGAGGGAACACTAGTACAAATCATCTACATCACTGGAATTTCCGAAGAGATACACATCTTAGAATCTGCTCCCCCACTGACAACGCTATTGCCTTTCCACCAATCAACGGATAATACCTGAATTGGAAGACCAAACATATTTCAGGAAACTTAAAATGATACTTCGTAATAAGTAAAGATTGCTGTAATAAAGTACAAGGTCTTATTACCTTATCATTGTGTGAGTCAATCACGGACAGAGGCCACTGCATGACAAAAAATGTTACTTAGTAAGAACATATCAAAGGAAACAAACATGTGTAATGCATGATAGAAGAATAAGGAGAAATACCGCTGTTCTCAAATCCCATAGCATTACTTTCCCATCATATGATGCGGAAACCAAATGAAACCAAGATTTTTTGTGCCATTTGCAAGAAGAAATCCAATTAGTATGCGATGAAAACTGATACACAGGAGCTAATGTCCCTGCAAAATTAGATCTCAAGCTGAAACCAGAGAAAGAGGAGAGAAAACAGATATGGACACATACATAGTATGATTCATGAACAAATAATTAATCAAGCAGTAAACCTGGTCTGCGAGGATCCCATATCCTTAATGTGCCATCAGAACCACCAGCTGATACTAAACCAGAGCTCTCTCCTCCAATATCAATACAATTAAGAACCTTGCCTGAGAACTGTAATGGAGAGTTACTTTAAAAGCTATTAACAGATAGGATCAGAAAACGAAACAGATAGCGCAGAAAACTAAAGTATTTAGAGTAATAGAGAGAACAGTGACACACCATGCTCCATGTTGCATTCCCTGTTTCAACATCCCAAATTCGGATGGAATGGTCCCAAGATGCAGAATAGATAGTTTCATCATGTGCCCAAAGAACAGAAGATACACAATTAGTGTGTCCTACTAGTGTAGATACAGCTTCACCCTGAAATCAATATAAACTATGAAAATGTGCACTTTTGCTATTTTACAGGCAAATATTATTTTGTTGGTAACATCAATGCACAAAAACCAATGAACTGGTAACATAACAAGGTATGACTCTTTCTCAATAAACGTCAGAATTGTTTTTTTTCTTTTCCGGCCATGTCGCAATTGAAATTTGTCTTAATACAATCTTATGCATAATACAATTATCCATCATATAAAAATCAATAACCAGAGCTTCAGCCATTAGTCATTCTGCGATACTAAAGCACAGAAGAGAAAAAAAAAAAAAACTCAATGGTTTAGGCAAGATCTAACAATTGTCTTTAGATCAAATTTCAAGTAATTGACAAAAGTCTCTTGTAACAGAATAGGGAGTACCAGCAGAAGCTGAAGAAAAATAAAACTTTACCCCAAAGGAAGACTTGAGCTAAACATTAAGAATATTTCCCTGCACCATCCAACCCCAACATTTTGGCAAGGAAAATCAATAAATGGTATTAAAACAATATATTTTAAAAAAATAATAAATAAACCCTTAAATGGTGATATAGCAAAAATAAAGTTGTGTTCTAGTATTAATTCATAAGGGCTTTTACAAGCCATAGACGGTGAGACGAACACTAGATGCCGCATACTTAGTGTTTCCAGTGATGTGGAGGATTCATCAGATCTCAAGTAATATGGACTTATGGAGAGCCTGATGCTAAAATCAAAAGCACCTACTGAAATATTTAACATCATAATTCAAACATTGAACACAAGGATACAAGCATATACTACCAGTTGCAAAATTGTCAGCAGAGAGAGAGTGAACCTATATGGGTGTAAGAGTTCAATTAGGAATAAATTAAGGCGAAGGAGCAGAGCATTTAGTGAGCTTTAATAGGGCCCAAAAAGGCACATACTTTAAAATATTCCATACCCATTTCACCAAGGTATCATTCTGAGCATCCAATTTCGTACTCGATATAGGATCAGATACCGAAGCATTATAACCTGCCTAAAGTCCTTAAGTAGTCTCTGAATCTTGGATCATTGCCTAACCCATGTTCCAAAATTTAGATGGCAAAATGGGTGAGATTAACACTAATTTTAGGAATGCATAAAGTCGACGCATTGCGCCAATAGTTTCCATATGATGAAATAAAGAATAAATAATAGCTACATATTGAGGTCACCAAATTACCCATTGAAACTCTCAAATGATGTGGAGTGAAATGTAGCCTTTTAGCACGCTTACAATGAGTTCAAGTTCTTCAAAGGGAAGTTAAAAGGAACACTATGATTCAAAGAATTCAATGAGTTTTTGCAACAAAACCCATTATATAATAAAACAACAAATTCCTCAATCCTTAAAGCAGTGATAATTAACCAGTGCATCATGATGAAGAAAGACAACACCCAATGAGTCAATGAGATGAAAATTAAAAATTCATTCCAAAACATTCTATACAAAGTCACAACTGTGTGATACAGTGAAAACATTGTTTACCTCTGATACTGATTCATTTACAACGCCACTCTTTTTCCTCTTTTTCATAGAAGCAAGATCACCATCAGCACCAGAGAGATTTGCCTGCCACAGATTAATTGTAGAGTCCCAGGAACCAGAACACACCTAAGTTTGCAGCACAAAGCAAAAATAAGCATCGACGTCACTCATACACCTGTCACTAGTTTGTGTACATCAACGACAGAGATACCATATTTCCAGATTGCTGCGATGAGACACATTCAACAGCTGCACTATGCCCTCGTAAAACTTTAGATGCAGTAATGGTTGCAGGATTATCTGTGGCATTTTCTGCATCAAACTTTTTAGGAAAAGAGATAAAATAATTAACAAGAAAAATATTTTTCTTTCTAAGTTTCTTCGAATTCTTAGTGTACAGATAAATAAAACTAATAATAAAAAAATTTCAAAAACGAAAAAAAAACAAAAAATACAGAGCAGCACTGTCTAAATTACCTGCCAAAGCCTGAGCGATTGATCCTTCGAAGCAGTAGCCACACAGATGTTATTACCATTATCAGAACCTGAGAAAAGCAGACTGATGATTACTAGATGTACTCAAAGATGACGAGACTACATACACAGAACTTCATCGACCAGTAAGTTGGTGTTTTTTATAAAGCCCCAAAAGCACAAATTGATCTAGTATTAAGACATAAACCTTTCTCTAGAGAATTACTTCAACATAGTCATATGAACAAAAAAATAACCAATGATAATCAGATTATCACACCATGTACCAAAGGTTCACGAGTAAAAGGAAAAAATTTCAGTCACTTGCCCTTTCCATTGATAATACAAAGAGAAGTTAGGGCACCAGTGTGTCCTTTTAACTTATGAGTACATGTCTCAGCACCCGTCCATATCCTGAAAAAATATTTTTAAAAAATCCACAATCAAATTTAAATAAAAAAAATGCATGGGAAATAAGATATCAAATCAACAGCTGCTTCCAACAATAGTACCTTCCAAGACCATCATAACATCCTGTCAAAACAAACCTGCCTCAGAAAAAACAAATAAATGAACACAAATCAACAATTTATTAGATTACAATACAAAGACAAAGTGAAAACTGAAAAACATTGCACAGTGTAACTGGTCTTAAGCAGTTTAAAACACGAGCATAGCTAGCATGACAAGAGAAAGGGAAAAAGCAACATTTTCTTTGTTTTGGACTGTCTATATGATGCATCCTCTCTAACTATAGCCAAGCCACCAAAATTTAAACAGCATATATGAAATCTAGTAAAAGGGCACCTAGCTGCCACAGGGACAAGGCAATAACCCAAAATAAAAACAAAAAATAACTATAACCCAATGAATCCACATATCTACCTAGGATCAGAGCCATCAATTGCACTGACCCAATCATCATGTAAGCATGGCTCTTCTTGTTTGCGTGGTACAACAGCCCTAATGTATTCAATCTCCACAACTTTTTCCTGCAAAAGAAGAAAGAATACTAGTAAACACGACATAATTGACATGGCAATTCGATAACAAACAACACCTTTCAGCTCCCATCAAACATATTTTCTACCTTTCAGCTCCCACCAAACATATATTCAACCCCATGTACACTAAATTTAGATAAACTAATCAAATTCCACCATAACAAAGAGGCATTACTGGACTCGATTTATGAAACCCATTACCGAAAAGCAACCAAAACAAAGACAAACTATATTTATATGAATCTATTCTAGTCCTCTATCTTTGCTTTATTCTTCCTGTATTACAAATTAACGAAGAATGTATTTTGTTGTTTTTATAATAATGTAAAAAAAATTAAAGTATACTCATATAATTCAATAACCACTTAACCCTGCATTGCACAAACGAAAATAAAAATAGTTTATAATTGAAATGAAATTATAATTTCTCACCGCAGAAATGCGCTTAGCAAGAAGAAACTCTTCAAGCGACAATCGAACCAACTCGCCATCAATTAAAAAATCGAAAGGTTCCGGCTCCCAATCAGAATCAACTATCAAAATTCATCACAAATAAAGGTAAAATCAACAATAACACCAACTAAAAACACACATTAAGCAACTGAAAACCTTCAATTAAACGAAGAAACAGCAGGAAAATGGAAAAGAGGAGTAATTACCGGCTTTGAGGAGATTATTGACGATAGAAGAGAGACCGAAACGAGTAAGGTCAGAAGGAATAGCAATGGCGTTTGAAGGAACTTTGAAGTGTTGTTCGAGGTGAGTTACGAACCGAACTTGCACTCTCTTCACGGTTTCGTCTGTCTCCATATCCATGGCTGCCTGAGTTCTGGAAGAGAGAGAAAGAGGGGTTTTAGTTAGGGTTTTAGCCTTTTTCTTACGTTGTTTTATTTGGGGAAGGGCTAGCTCTTACTGGAAGTTTTATTGGCGTGTATTTACACTTTTGGTTAGGGTGGTAGACCATGTAGTCAATCTATACTAATCTATACTAATATATTAAAAGTCATTACTAACAACGTCTCTGTACCACGTGGCGTAAACGCCCAACCTTTTATAACAAAGATAGTTAGTTAATCATCGCTATGTTATAAAAATGAAAATAAATGTATATAATTGATAATCACAAGGTCTAAAGTAGCAATCGGTGCAACGCCTGAGCTACACACTAGTAGTAGAATTATAAGAAAGCCACCAAAATCTTTTAAGACAATTATTTTTTAAATCCTCAAAAGTTTGATAGTGTTGTTATTTCAAAATTATTATTAAATTATATTTAATTGCTTTCCATCTCTTCATATTTTAAGCGGCCATTGTTAGTTTAGAACTATTAATTGTTGTGCATGTTTCAATAATGCTTAGTATAATATTTCTAACGTGTTTTTCTTCAAATGAATTTTTTGCGAGTTTTGGTTATACGGAGTAATAATATGTAAAATGTTGCAGTGCAGCTAAAAACTTAATTAATAATGTAAGTTCTTTAATGTTCTAAGACGACCATCTAATATCTATATCAATACTAAAGCAATAACCAATTGGATATATTTTTTCTCTTAAATTCTCTCCATAATTAATACCATTTTTTCTACCATCGATTTCCCTTGATTCTAGGATTTTTAGTTCTTTATACCACTTGATAACATACGCCTATTCAAATATCACTAAACTAAATTATTCAATATGAATCCCATTCGAATTCTAAAACATTATTTATATGTACATTAAAAAGCTAATAAACCTTAATAATAGTTGCAATTAAAGAACGACGAGCTATTAAATAAGAAGAGCAACTATGAAAAAGTAAAAATAAACAGTCTCTTGGTAATAAACCGTTTCTTCGTACATACAATCTTTTTTCTTTTTAAATAATAATAATAATAAATAAATAAATAAATTAATAATAATAATAATAATAATAATATCATATAAAGTGAAAACAAAATTAATTGATGATATATGTTTAATGAAAAAAAACATTAAATATATTGAAACATTAAATATATTGAAACATTAAATATATTAATTACAGTAAACATATTAATGAGGGTATTAAAGTAAATACACATTTTATACACAATTTTGTACATTGTTTTGAGGATATAATTGGTAGTACACTATTCCTAAGAGTTATTTTCTACTTTTTAAAAGGTAGGGAAATAACAGTATATGCTCTTTTGTAAAAAAAATTTAAAAAACAAATAATTCTTTCTTATACAAAGGATTTCAAAGAGATCAAAAGAAAGCGTTTGGATACTCCGATAATTGTTGTGTATATATTTCCTTCAGATTATGTGGGGATTTATAATTTTATTGTACCCTTGTTTGCTCGTATATTAAACATGCAGTGAAATGTCTAATAGAGCATGAGTTTATTGTTGAATAATTTAGAGAATGGTAGACATAATTCTTGTTGTTTAAATTAAATTACATAGGTTAAGGTGTTGTAATTTAATTTTAAACAAATATTAGAAGCATGAACTTGGTTTAAAGGGAAGAACAAAAGAATAATGGTGAAGGAATTACATCTCTCGGTTTAGAGAAGCTGAAATTGCAGCCCCTCTCACTGCCTGGTCAGCCGCCGATTAGGGTGGTGCTCGCCCTACCGGGCGCGAGAAGAAGACGAAACTCCTGTTCTGGAATTTGGGTAGCCGCCCGATCGGGCCTCCACCGCCCGATCGGGCGCGAGGGGACTTGATGTCTGATGTTTCAGTTAGCTCGATCGGGCGGTGGCAGGCCCGATCGGGCGCGAGTCAATTCAGTTTGTGGCTGACGGTTTTCTTCCATTATGCTTTTGTTATTTGTCAGTTGTTTTCGTGACTTTTGGCTGATAAAAGTGCTTCTATATATATATGTCAAAGACATATGAAGAAAGGGTACTTTAAGGAGAAAAATGGGCGGTTCATTATTTTTCTTTTTAGAACTTGAAGAAAATATGCAGTTTATTTTCTTTGAAATATTTTGCAAACTCTATATTTATCATCATCACAAATCACATACACTTATCTACATTGAATTGTAATCATCCTACTTGTGATTGTAATTGTTCTTCGTTGTATCTCCTAAGTAAATTTCCGTGAAACCCGGTTGTAGTATAGGGTCGGAATTATACTTTTGGGAAAGTGATTCCGTTCACGCCTCGAAGATTTTACCGGTTTATTTTGTTTGCTATCTTTGTGACCCTTGTTAAAACACAAAATCCCCAACAATCCAAAAGTATAATTCCTACAAAGATGGCAAATGTGAAGGGTATGATGACGAATTTCCAGAAATTGAACAAGTTCGAGGGTGAAGATCTTGGTATGGAGATGGAAACGAAGATGGTGATATTTCTTGTGGAATTACAAGGAAAAGTTTTGATGGAAGGTTTTCTCTAGTCAGTTATATGATTAAAGTCACTCCATTCAAGTAAGAGGTTTCTTATTTGTGATTAATATATATTTATATGTTTGATTATTTATCTCTATGGTTAATTCTTGACATGTTTAATTAATCTAAGTTTATTGATTATGTCTTGATTATTATTAGAGATGTGTTGTCTTGTAATTATGCCCATTAAAGATAATTGGTAAAATCATAATGGTTGGTTAAAACCATGTAATATAACATTGTTAATGGATGAACCAAGTATTATTATAGTTCATGAAATGGGTAAGAATTACTGTTTATTTTTACATTGATAATAAGATACTTAAGATGTTTTTCTTGATATTGTTAATATATTTGCTATATAGAAGGTTAATTCTTGGTATAGATGGACGGTTTAATAGCCATGATTATTTGTTATACAAAGTATGTATTATTTCATCTTGTTACATGGGTGATAGGTTATCAATTGACGGTTTGTACTTTGTATGGCCTAAGTGATATTGTTTCATTTATGGCAGTTATTTATAGCGGTTACTCATGTGTGATGAACTTTGTTTGGTCTAATAATGTGTTACTCCATGGTACTTATTCATGAAAGGTTGAATGACCTTGTTTTGGTTTATTTGTGATTGTAAGTTTACATGCATGAATTAAATCAAGTAGTCATTTAATTATTGACAAAGGTATATGTCACTTTGTGATGTGATGGTATTGTATATCATGGCAAGTATAGTCTTGTGATTAATATGTTATAATTATTAGGTTTATTAATGCCTTGTTGTCTTGATATAAAAGTTAATGACATATGTTAAATTGATGATTAATTTGATTCAAGTTATTATTCTATGGTATAATAGAATAATGAAACTGCAATGATAAATTGTGTTGTAGTTATAGTGAATTAATCATGAATATATAATTCCTTGGTTTAGAGGGTGATGAGTTATATGTTAAGAATGGTTGATTAATTAATAATAATGAATAGTCTATGGTGAAATAGAATAAAGGTATGCAATGTGTGTCATGGTCTATGACATGAGGATTTTGTATTGAAATTATTGTAATTGATTATATCAATGTTTGATTTAATCATTGATGTTTTTAATTTTATGCCTCTATGGTGATAGCAGTATAATGAAGTGTTTGTTGATATTGTTTGTGAAATTTATTCAAGTTATATGGATAATGATAATCTCTTTGTGATTATGAGTTTATACTCTTGGTTACAAAAGGGTATATATGCATGTATCAAACAAAAGCTATGTAAGTGGGCGAATATCGCTTATGTGATTGGTCAATTGAATAGGCTCACTAGTAATTCTAGAATGCTATGTTAATGTTATGTTGGCAAACGGTTTATTGTTTGTTGTAGTATTTGTTGAAAATCATGTATTATGGCTTGTGGTTTAGTGGGTTTCCTTCGGTTATTGAAGGATATTCGGATGCAAGTTGGATTTCAAATAGAGATTGTTCATTCACAAGTGGATGGGTATTCCCATATGGGGGAGGTGTCATGTAATGGGCATCAAAGAAGCAAATTAACTTGCATTGTGCATTCTATAAGACATTGGAGGTCATTGCATTACATTCCGCTGGTAAAGAAGCAGAATGGTTAAGGGTTTTAATGCATGATGAGATTTCTTTGTTGCAAAAGCCAATATCACTAATAGTGATGAATTGTTGGGATAACAATGTAATTTTGGCTAAGGCATATAGTCAATTGTAAAATAATGAGTTAAGGTATATTGGTGTAAGGTATAGTTACATCAAGGACTTAATAAGGATAGTATTAAAAACTATTGTTTATTCGTACGAAGTTTAGTCTCGATGATTGTTTAAAAAGCACGGGTCAGAGATGTTAATAAAAGGATGGCAATCGGTTTAAGATTGGAGCCCTAGATAATCACAATTAGGAGAATCTCAACTTAACACCCAATAAGACGTTGGGTCTTAAGTTCAATGAGATCAATTCTCTTATTTGATGATTGGGAACTTGTTTATTCATCCAAGGTTAAGTTCCGGTTTTACTGTGATGAAAAGAGGTTGTTTTAACTTAATAGAATTCCTGATATACTGCTCGGTCACAGGAGCATGTTTGGAAATCTACCTATATAAGTACGAAGTTTAGCCGCTTCAAGAAGCTATTAGGGTTGTAGCTTTGATGTACTTATGAATAGATATGGACACATGGCTTATAGTGTCAAGTAAATATGTATTTAAGTAATTAATCTTGTGTGTGTAACATCTTCAAGTTTCCAATATGTGTCGCTTTTGGTTCAAACGTTTTACGATACCAAATGGATACGGATTCTTGAATTGTATGTTGCACTAAGTGGGAGTTCAAGTCTATGTACACTTTCATTTATGCATGAGATTGTTTTGTGATGATGATGTTATTTTTGCAATGAGTCTAGATTTATTCTCTAAATGGGGGAGGATTGTTGAATAATTTAGAGAATGGTGGACATAATTCTTGCTGTTTAAATTAAATTACATAGGTTAAGGTGTTGTAATTTAATTTTAAACAAATATTAGAAGCATGAACTTG